TCATGGCGTGTATATGCCAAACTAGAGTGTCATCAACATACTGGCTCCTTCAAGTTTTGGGGCGCTTTGAATGCCACAGAGCTGACGAAGGCACAGTCTGTCGTAACAGCATCCGCAGGGAACCACGCATTAGGTATCTGTTGAGCCACTAAGATGCTAGTGAGGATCTTAGATCCGCACTATCTCATGTTGCTAATGTTGCTTATCTCACCCAATAGACAATACGGCTGGGGCCATGGTGGAGCTTTGGTGACAATTGATTCCATCGATGGGATGTTGAACAACAAGGAAGGGCTGGACGCATGCATTGAGTCTGTTTTATAATTACCAAGGAGGGAAGGCTTTCCTATCATGAAAGGTGCTGGATTTGGGTACTCTGTTTCTCGAATATCGGCCAGTTCCACCATGGCAGAGGACTCGGATCCTTTCTTGCGCATCTCTATTGGGATAGAGAGTGGCAAGGTTGACGCTTTGGTTCTTGTGGTCAATAGAGCAGTGTTGCAGTATGTGAAGATATACTCAGGATGAGACATATAGCTCGTTGATGAAGGACGTCTGTTATGTTGTTACGGTAGATTTATGCCCCTCTACACTGCATTTTACAATGTTTGGGGTCATGCATTTTCATTTGGACAGGCTGAGTGGAGCTGTGGGGTAGCAGATTAGAACAGGTTGGGGCACGGCGCTACTAAATAATTAGTCCGTCCCACACTGTATAGGGCAGATCAAGACCTAGAAGAGTTGTCTATACCTCTTAGAATTCTAAGTTATTCATGATACACACTTTTGATGTTTGCATCAATTGCGTACTTGACAAAGATGCTGCTGGTACATGGATTCACTAGTTACCGCGGCAACGTGATGCAGCTCGCATGACATGCTTTCACATCGGCTTTCTACCAGCTCCCCAGCATAGCTCATACTGCACAAAGAGCCTCAATATTATCAGTCCTTGTCGGTTTTGTCCAACAAAGAAGCACCGTCACCGCAAAGGATCTAACCATGGTGACCGTCGCGCTTGAGACTCGGTTCAAGCATATGGCCATTGTCGATGAAAACGCTCACGATAGTGCGAAGCTTCAACAGAAAGCCAAAGTACGTCCTATCTAACAATCCATTAGCTGAATATGAGCCCACAATTGACGACAGAAAGCAGAGCGCAACTGCGAATACACGGCCGGTGAACAGAGTTCTACGACCCAAGAAGTCCGACGCTGTTCCTCATAATCCTAAAACCACGAATCCTACCGAGACCGCGCCAACAAACATCCAACGAACTCCCCCGAAGACGAGTCATCCCCTCGCCTCTGTTGCATCGCAAGACACAGACGATGCTGCAAATCAAGATGACCAACATGCCACTACCGATTTCAAGACCCAAGCCACCAGGCAAAGCTCCGCACCCTCTCAACCTCCCCGACAGAAAGAAAGGCAATCATCTACATCACAAGCTCGCCATCCTCTCTCCGTTCTATCCCAAGCACCGAATGCTACAGTAAAGCGCGAACAACACTCCACCAAGCTCACAAAACAACCAATACCCAGAATAATACATCTAGGTATGTTCGAGATCGGCAAAGCGCTGGGCAAAGGGAAGTTCGGGCGAGTCTATCTTGCTCGGGAACGAGACAGCGGATTTGTTTTTGCTTTAAAAGTACTTCACAAGAATGAGATCCAACAAGAGAGGGTAGAGAAACAAGTGGCCCGTGAGATCGAGATCCAGAGTAATCTGCGACATCCGAATATTCTTCGGCTTTACGGGCATTTTCACGACAGTAAGCGAATAATTCTGATATTGGAGTTCGCTGGCAAGGGGGAGCTATACAAGCACTTGCAAAAGGAGATTCGGTTTCCAGAGTGGAAGGCTGCGCAGTACATTGCGCAGATGGCGAATGCTTTGCAGTACTTGCATCGCAAGCATGTTATCCATCGGGACATCAAGCCTGAGAATATTCTGGTGGGGATGCATGGAGAGCTGAAGATGTCGGACTTTGGTTGGAGTGTTCATGCGCCAAGTGGTCGCAGGCTTACGAAATGCGGGACGCTGGATTACTTGCCTCCTGAAATGGTTGATCCGAAGAAGTGCGATAAACCGTATGATCAGAAGGTGGACTTATGGTCCCTTGGGGTTCTATTGTATGAGTTTTTGGTTGGGAGCGCGCCGTTCGAAGATACGCCAGTCATGACGCAGAGAAGAATCATGAAAGCGGATATGATAATCCCTTCTTTTGTGAGTTGTGAAGCGAAGGACCTCATCAGGAAGGTAAAGCAACCGTCCTCCCTTCCATGGTTCAGCATTATGCTAACAAAATGTAAGCTTCTTGTCACTGATGCGGATAAAAGAATCACTCTCGAACAGGTCCGACAACATCCTTGGATTATCAAGTACTGCTTCCAACATGTACAGGAGGAAAAGAAAGAAAATATACCTGGTCAAAAATCCTGAGTTAATAATACCCCTACGGGGTTTGAAGCCAAGCCCCATATACTGCTGGCAGTAATCCACTATATAATAATAGATAGCTGGACTAGACAAGTCCTTTCAATCTTCAGCCACTGGCACTTGCTCGACGCACAGTCTCTTCATGAATACTTGTAGTATATATAGTATGAAAGAACAGATCACTTGACCAAGTCGGCTCAATCGAGTCCTGGTAATAGCATCGAACCAGATCCTTGGACTTTGGGACCTAAACACCATTACATGGCTTTCTCTATCACTTAATTTCCCTCTCTCGTTCCGTCAGGGGATTAGTTCGCAACCAAGTCAATTTGGGGTAAAGTAAAGATATAAATTATTGGGATCCTGCAAGTCCTTTCATATAGTACAAAAAAGCCCGTTCCATCTTCGAAATAATTTTTCGACGTAAAAAATAAGTCTGTAGAAGAAAGGAAGAAACCCCAGGCCAGGAAAAAAAAATTCAAGTAGGAAAATCAAATGGTAAGACTGGGGTTCGAACCCAGGCTGACTTTCGTCAAGCGGAGTTTTAAATCGTAACCGAATAAGTAAAATTCGGAAACAACTCTCTTAAGCCGCTCGCCTTAACCACTCGGCCATCTTACCAGCATTGTCTACGGATATATCTTATTTGCTTTGTAGCACACTGGGTCATTGCGCTCGGATATATCCGCAGGTAGTACTTGGCCGATGGGAGTTCGCTGCCGTATTGTTTGCTGTTTAGGTTGGGAAGGTCTGTTTTCAAAATGGTGTATAAATAGTGATTGTCGGTTTGTTATACTAGTGTAGTTCAAATGGTTGAATCGGGCAGATAATATCATATTGGGAAGAGGTACAAGGTTCATGGTCTGGATTAAGGTATCAGTTATGAAATACAAAGAGGCCAGACCAAGCACCGAAACAAAAGAAAGCCGGAATTAATAGAAGAGGTCATCGCTTTCAAGATCCGTGATATCCTCGAAACGACAGGCTGCCAGCATATCTATGTTATCATTCACAAGATCCCATCGTAATATGTCGGCTGGATCGTATCGTCGGTAGCCAGCCTTGGTATTATAGAGGATCATATTGTAAGGCCAATAGTGGTTTTCATGAGAGAAATCTCCATAAGCAAGTGCAATAAGGTTGTGCAGGCCGTCAGCACTGAACGCTCACTCCGCAAACTTGTGTATATCCCTGGGTTCGTATGATGGGTCTATATTGGTGTGAGAATCTGTGCCTCTGCAGCCATTACCTCTGGGGATTGTAGTACGCTTACCAGAGTCACAATATATATCCACTGACGTCTGATCAAAACCAGGGGGTCCATCATAGCTCAGATCCATCATAACCATCCCAGTCGCTCTGATGTGTAAAAGCTTGCGTAAAGGTCTAAACTGCAAGATTCGTAACTGGTTGGCCTCAAATCCTTGCTTAGTAGTAGCCACAGGATGTTCAAGTGCACAGTATGTACTTACTAACTCACACGGTGGTGTAGAGGTACCAAAGAAAGCTAACTGTTTGTCTTGCAATAATTGCTCCAAACCCGAAGGCCAGGGGATGTCTCTGGTAATGAGACCCTGCTTACCTTGGTCCACTAAACTATGCATGGAGAATCGTGTAAGAGAGCTGCAACGACGAACTGTACTCGTTAGAGAATACCAATCTATGGGCTCGCAAAGCATGAGACAGAGAGTCTCTAGTCTCGGAGTCCTTTAAATGAAGTCGCAGATCTTCTTCGTTGTAGTTTTAGGGTCGCTGCTGGTAAGAAAAGCTCGAAGGATTTTAACTTCGTTAACACCCTAGATCTTGGTACCAGCTCTAGCCACTTGTGGGATCCTATACATTTCCGCAGTTTCAAGGTTTTCAGGTTCGCAATATTGAACACAAGCGGCATTTCGGTATCAGCATGCTCAAAGGAGATAGCTGACAAGTCAAGGTATTTGAGCGCCTGAAACATACTTCTTTCATCTTCAGCTTTCACGCTCATCACACTATAAGTCAGGAAGTTGTCTGTTTCTTTCCCGTTGCTTTGTTGGCGAAGCCCATCGGCTCAAATCTTTTTTGCACGATGCCAGCTCACAAGGTCTAGTGTAAGCGAAACTGTTCGATGACCATGAACCCTGATTTAGTCTTTGAGGCACTCGAAGTCACTATACTTGGTCAGGCCCTTCCAGAAAAGGCTCCTTAGATTTGGGAGCAGCAAATGATTCGCGGAAACTCTCACTTCCTCTGAAACGAATGCAAAATCATACTGTACAGATGTTCTGAATACCAGTGTCACTACTCATACACTTTCAGTAACTCTGACTTGAACCCACGCTTAAGCAAATATTGGTAATAGTCGTAAATTATTTAGGTCCTGGATGTATGAGATATTACAATATGTAACATAACAAGCATCTGTAATTTTGCTGTCCCCTTAGGTTTTATACTTGATTGCCACATCCCTAATCCAGGCACTGTATCACGTAATAAGGAATTCATGATCTACTTCGATAAATGAACATGTTCTGGTATCTGAGTTACATGCATTGATCATGTGCTTCTGTGAGAAGTACCAATAATCGCTAAGCAAAATCATGACCATGGTGACTATCCTCTTCCTAAGTCATGCGATGTACAATGCGTTCTGGAGGGGCATGCCTAACATTCTGACCTTCCGAGACTTGCTTCAGAAGCGCTTGGATGTGCTGAGCTGATTGTTGTAAGCGCTAAAGGCAAGGCTGAGATTAGCCTCGTTTCTTACCCCTCTTCTCCCGGCTCGTCTACCTCCTCTTTTTCTCTTCTCTCGAACCAAGCCAGCTTGATATCTTTCCCTGTCAAACCCCAGTGAAAACCTGCACATCGCAATATTTTCTTCTTGATCTTTGGTATACTACATTACTTGATACATTATGGCAAGCAACGTCTCTCTATCACGTGATGATTATACTGTCGGATGGATCTGCGCCTTGCCGCTAGAAATGGCCGCTGCAAAAGTGATGCTCGACGAGATTCATGACGACTTACCTATGCAACCTACGGATGACAACGCCTATCTTCTTGGACGGATCGGGAAACATAACGTTGTGATTGCGTGTCTACCAAGTGGTGTTTACGGAATGACATCCGCTGCTACAGTAGCGGCGCAATTATCATCTAGCTTTCCGTCAATTCGCTTTGGTCTTATGGTTGGTATTGGGGGAGGAGTGCCTAAGGAAGGCGTAGATATCCGACTTGGTGATATTGTGGTTAGTGAGCCAACAAGCATTTATGGAGGAGTGGTGCATTACGACCACGGTAAAGCATTGACTGGGGGCGAATTCGAAAGGAGAGGCATGCTCAATCATCCGCCTCGCTGTCTTTTAACAGCGCTTTCTAAACTCAAATCACATCATTTGACCGAGGAAAGTCAAGTCCCAGCTTTCCTTGCCAAAATCATGCAGAAGCTATCTTCGAAAAACGCTACGAGATTCTCTCGGCCTGTCCAAGAAGATCGTCTCTTCCAAAGTGATTATAACCATACTAATATTGCGACCAAATCCTGTGATACTTGTGATACAACTAAAGTCGTACTGAGACGCCCCAGAGAAGACAATGATCCTGTCATTCATTATGGACTGATTGCGTCCGGAAGTCATTTGTTGACAGACAGTCATTTGAGAGACAAGCTTGGCCATGGTCTGGATGTTCGCTGCGTAGAGATGGAAGCAGCAGGACTCATGAATGCCAATACAGCTCTTGTCATACGTGGAATATGCGACTATGCAGATTCACATAAGAATGATGTATGGCAGGGATACGCTGCTGTCGCTGCCGCGGCTTATGCGAAAGAATTATTGCTCATGGTGTCTGTGGAGGGGAGCATGAAGGCAACTGCTATGGCAAACAACCCATCTCCACCTATAGTGGGTAGTCTTATCTCGCGTACCTTCAAAATAACTAACTATTCCATTACAGAAATTCATTCGAGACATTGGCTACCGCTCTTTAGACCGGAGTAATGATGCTCATTTGGGTTCAATTACTAGCTCAGAGTCAGACTACGGCGATCAGCAGTGGGACAACGTGATCCAAGCTAGAGCGCGGGATAATGTGTGTTATAACTGTGGTCGATACGGTCACTTTGAAGAGGAATGTTACATTGACTGCGGGCGATGTACAATACCCCGACCTTCTGCTCAGGACTTGACTCACATTCCATAGGTGGAGATAGAGATCATACCCAGAACGATTGTCCCAACCCTGTGACGTGTTATAAATGTTAGGATCTCTATAACCAATGAATTTTGCGTGTGATTTTAGCTAATCAAGTATCGACATCTAGGCGGTGGTCATAACCATATGTCACGCGATTGTGCCCAAGCTTTGGTGGACATGCACAGTCTCTTGCGTCGCTTCTGACGGTACATGGGTGCAGATAGATACTTCATGTTTTATCGCCCCAAAGTCCGAGTTATACATGAAGCCTATGCTTTGGACCGTGGAGAGTCGTCAAGGAGAGCGTCTTACCACGGAGCAGAGAATATGTAATTTCATGTAATATTTCCAGTTACCATTGTCACATGATTGATTCGTTGTAATTGGACAAGTCTTCCCAGCTCCTTACAGTGCATCACAATAGACATCTACCTTATTATATAGGTTATTCACCTCAGACATTATCGGAACCTCCGCGTCCCGTTGTAGGGTCTTAACACTACACTCCGCAGACTATTCTCCGCAAAATAGGAGCCAACACAATATATATGATTTACCTTGCATCGCTTTCTATATTCAAAACTAACCTAGGACGGGAAGGAAATGTAATGGATCCCATGTATATGTTGCCTTTTGGCTCAGGGGAAGTACCAGAAGGGTCTACAATGTATACTTCGTGAACCACATCGAATTGTACGCCCGTCAGAATTAGGCTGAGGCCATCTTCAGAGCTGAACGAGGTATAAGCTGGAATTTGAGTCTCTTTGACACCAATGTTTTTGACAGCTCCCGAAACTGAAACGCATATAATTGTGCAAAGGTTGCATTTCCCCAAAGGAGTAACTGCTTACGCCAAATGATTCCCTTGGAAATTCATTGGCACTGTAAAATTCCATGATGTTATGATCTCCTGAGAATGCGAAGTCTACCGCCATGATGGGAGCCCCTTGATATTCGACATTGACTTGGGAACCAGCCCCATAATGCCAAGGCTACCGGTCGAGGCTCACAAGGCCCTCAGAGTCGATTTTGTAGCCGGGTTGCAGAGGTTGTCGCGAGATCTGGTAGTATATGGGCTCGTTCCAACCACCCGGCTGTGTATCAACCACACAATTGGGATCGATCTGAACGTCGCCTGAATAGAACGATGACAGTCTGACAAACCGTGGGTTGTCCGTAATGTTAGCTGAGAAGGAAGCAGTATGTTCAAGTTAAAAGAGGTTAGTAGCATGTCTTAGTGCTGATGGGATTCTCTCATGGAAAACTAGAGATCTTGGCCTGTTGAGGGGATACGAAGGGCCATACCAAGAATCAACAAAGATCTACATCCCATCCTTCACTCCTTCCTGCGCACCCTTGGCTTTCATCGTTCTTGACATTCAGTCACACCAAGCCGTCAAAGCTTATTCCCCAATCTTCACCGATATCCATAAGCCGGTCCAAGCGCATATCCGACCGATGCCCCGCATCCTATTCCCTAGTAGGTGCGTCACTGGGATGCAGAGGTCGATATTCGAGTCGGTTTTGGTTCAGCTGAGATCTAAAAGCTCTGAGATACACTATTTTATTGACAGCCTGGTGTTTACTGCATGATCGGGCTGTGAATTAGACGTGCTGTTGTTGGCGCGTTGTCCTTCCCGCCCAATTCAGCCTCGCTTAACACCCTTTAGCTTCGGCCATCATGCTTGCTTTTCCCACTATCGTGAGGTCTGCGTATCCGTAGATCACGATAATTCTTCACCTTCTTTGCCTTAAAAGAGTTCACCCGCTCAAAAGCTAAAATGCCTTCAACAAGGAAGCAGTATCACTGCTGTGTCGATCTGCGGTGTGTGATAGTCCCGCTCCCAACCCGTACTTACATAGCCATTAGCCACCGCCAGCTAGTCCGATGCCCTGCATGATAGCCCGAAGCCCAACATGAACCGGCGCGCACTCTAGTTCCGTTTATTATAACTCTCGGGCCATAGCCTCCATGGCCCCGGAAATTTGTCTCAAAGTTTATTGTGCATCTTACATCCACCACAAACGACCATGGTGTCCCCCGCTCAAAGCCTTCGGGACCAGTGGAAGGAGCCTTCCGACATTTTCACAGTCCTCCTAATTATCGGTGGAGACATTGTCCAGCAAGCCTTGGGGGCCGTATCAGGAGGATTTCTCACCCCGGTCGCATTTTCCTACGGATGGGTTGCATACGCCGTGTCAGCCCTTCTTTCTGCCACTGGTGATGGCCGGCTCATGCCTGAGACCCCTATCACTAATTTACGGGTTATTAATCTCAAGTCTGGCTACTGTCGCTGGAATCGATCATGGGTGCTAGGTCGCGTGTTTCAGGACTATGAGCATTGGATGCCGAGTGCGGTGCGTGAGCGATTGGAAGAGCATCCAAGTCAGAACAGTGACGAAGAGAAGAAGGTTCCGGGCTCGCTTCCGGGGGGTCGGCAGCCAGAGGTGGCTCTATGTGTGGCTGTCTATCACTGGTCTACTGAGGGGAACTCTCTGGCGCGTCCTGGACATGACTGGGTTTGGTGGACAGGACTGCTGGTCTCACTCATTCAAATCGCCATCAGTGCTGTCCCGTTTGGGATCTACGGGGACTGGCGAGTCTTCTTGGTGACGGTCAGCGGGACCGTCCTGGCGTATGCCGCAGGGGCTTTGCCGGGCTGGCGAAAAGAGAAATGGGCGTGTCGAAGAGGGTCAGGGAAAGACGTGGCATTGACGCTGGGGAATGGAACCACCCATGTGGTGATTGTGCATGGAGGCCATCCCGATGGACTGGATTTGGAGGATCTGGCGGGAGCTGAGGTTCGACACTCAGGAGCAGCGACCTCGAACCGTCGATCTATATCCCGAATGATCGAGTCATGTAACACGACGCGGCTTTTTATCGCCTTTCTTGCCATCCTTTGGCTCGTTCTCTTGATTACTAGCCAAGCCATCGAAAGCCATACCTGGTACCTGGTAGGCGTTGGGGGGCTGGGCATGATCCAAAATCTCATTGTCGCTGGGGCACCGCGCTTCCCTGAGATGCTGGGGATTTCGATCGAATTGAGCGAAAGCTCACAGGGTACACCTTCAGTCTTCGCCGAGTACAAGGTGATGTACACGCTCATGGAGCTGGAGTTGGGGTATAAAGGATTCGGAAGAGCACTCTTGGCGGAGTTCTTTCCTGGCAAGCTGAGGGATTGGGAGGAGAATTGGTGGGCGCTTACGAATAATGAAGAGAGGCGAGTGATATTGGATGAGAAGAAAAGAGGTTTGCAACGATGATGTGTATTGGTTTTCTCCCGTGTGTTGAATATTGGCGTTTGAAAGATAAAGTAGTTGTTCATGTGATAATAGGTTATTATATTTTGACAACATTTTCCCCAGTGATCTGAGATTTCCTGTGAGAGCATTCGAGCAAAAGGCTTGCTGAGTTGCTCCACTCTCAACACGTCACAGCTGTTTGTGCTGACCCATTTTCATGCATCGGACGGCTGATAGCACAATGGATTTCTCCAATGAAGTGTTCAGTTCCATGTCAACATCGGGTAAACGAGGCGGAGGCCCACTTTTCTGTGTCCGATGTATGCTTCCCAGCACCAAGCCATTTCCACTGTTAAGCACTTATCCAAATCACATTGTCCTGGCTGAAACAACCCAGGGAACTGGACACATTCTATCGGTCATCCCTTTTGTACAAGGCTGAAAATCAATCTTGCTCTGCATTATGGTCGTTTTCTTCTAGCCTGGAGACGAGAGGAGTATAATTTCACGTGACATTTAGGCCTCTAAGTTGAGAATTGGGCAATCACAATCACATCTTCGTAACCTTGCTGTGGATTACTTGCCATCAATATTGAAAATACCCAGGAAACAATATTTTGAACCGTCTGCACTTTGATATTACTAATTCTAGGCAAGATATTGGCCGTGATATCCATTTTCCGCAACAAGCATATTCAGTCACCATCAATGTGTGGACTCATACCCCCGTCAATACTCCGTTTCTTCAATGCTTTTCGTGGCATGACGTCGCATCCTTCTGTCTGCCAGCGTTGCTGGAATAGCCTATTTTCCAGAAACGGTTTCCAAGCTGCCTGGAAGGCTCAGTTTCAACCTCACGTGTCAGGCTTCTCCTATAAAGTGAGCCTGGGAGAAATCGCCATCTCTGCCAAACAGGGCTGCAAATGGTGCCAATTTCTCAACGAGCAGATTCCAGCTCAGGTTGGGACAAACGGTCCCCTTCATGCCGAGGCAGAGTATACAATAGCTGTGAGATTCCGCATGAGGTCGGGGCAAGAACAACGTACCCTTCTGGCCCTCTCGTTGAATGACATCTGGAGTCAAACCTTTGAGGTACACACAGTGGATGGTTTGTTCAATCTGTCAGTAATTGTACCAGAGTAGTGTAGCTAATTGTGGCAGGCGATAATGCTGCGGAGTATATCCCCACACGCGAAATGATCTGGCAGGTCAACTCCCCTGCTACATATGCTCATGCTGCTGAGCTTATCAGCGAGTGCACAACTGGGGGACATGACCAGTGTCATCATCGAGAGACCCTTTATCTGCCGACTCGAGTAGTCGATTGTTTGGATCCGGAGCATCCAAAACTTCATATCACTCAAGGGGGGGGCGCCAGGGAAATACACAGCTCTGAGTTACCGCTGGGGAGAGGCCCAGCCACATCGGATGCAAACTCACAATCTCCAGCCATTTTGTCAAGAGATCCCAGTCCATTCACTCCCTCAAACAATCAAAGATGCGATCCATTGCACTCAACAACTCGGGATACGTTTTCTATGGGTCGACAGCCTGTGCATCATCCAAGACTCTAAGGAGGATAAAAGTCGCGAGATCCCACAAATCCGCAAAACCTTCCAAAACGCATTCGTGACTATCGTCGCGGCCAGTGCATCCCAAGTCAGCCAAGGCTTCTTGCAAGACCGTGAACCCCCACCCAAAGCAGTTTCGCTACCTTTCCGCTGCGATGACAGCCGCATCGGCAGTATGTGGATCAGGGAGGGCACGATTGATCCCCGCGAGCCAATAGATACCAGAGCGTGGTGTTACGAGGAGAAGCTTCTTACCCAGCGTGCTTTGATCTTCACAACTCGAACCGTGCGGTTTCAATGTCAATCGCACTACCTTAACATCGGAAACTCCAACATTGCAGCATGGAATGCAGACACTCGCCTACCGAGCACAATTATGGAGCCAGAAGAAGGGGACTGGGCTCCGCTAACGTACGAAGAGAGTTCCGCTCTTGCGATTGAAAATACATGGGCCTCGGTACTCGCAGAATACACGGCGCGCGATATCACACAATTTCGCGATCGTCTCATCGCATTCTACGGCATCGCAGAAACTTTTCATCGCACTTGGACTCATAGCCAGTACCTCGCTGGATTATGGAAACATAATCTCCTAGAAGACCTCCTCTGGGAAGCTGATCCGCCGCTACATCCCCGACCCGAGAACTACCGCGCCCCGTCTTGGTCCTGGGGTGCAGTAAATGGCAAGGTGCTGCGTGCGAATACTATGCACTTCTGGAGAGAAGATGTGCCGCAATGTGAGATTGTCGATTGTCAAATTACCTTGGCAAATGAGAAGATGCCGTACGGTGAGGTTACAGACGGACGGTTGCAACTGAACGCCTCGATGAAGAGTATTATTTGGCACCCCTCACAGGGGAAGTTCTATGCTACCAGCCAGAAGGATTCAGACAAGTCGGAGGAATTACATCCGGGCACATTACTGGGTAAATGCTATCCAGATAGTTTGCAAGAAATTGAGTCGGAAGAAATGCAGCAGGCTTATGCTATTCCGCTGCGGTCTTCCCGGAAGACATACCATGTCATTCAAGGCTTAATAGTTGTGCCATGTCAGGAGGATCATGAAACCCAGTGCTTCCGCCGGGTGGGCAGGTTCGATGTCCCGTTGTTGAAGCTCTGGGGTGACTTTGATCCTGATGCATTGTTTGGATCTACCCGGCAGCGTGTTGTTATCATCTGATCATATTCCAGATTTTCGTCAAGCACGTAGCTCTTACACTGACAGTGGTTGGTCCAGTTAATGTGAGCAGTGTCGGAACTGTTATGAATAATGAGTTATGGAAGAAATGGTGTAGGGGCAAATGTGAAACACTGAGCAAGTAACCGCCCGGTCGGGCTCCCAATCAGGCCTGTTTAGGCGTCCCGGGCTTGACCAGTTCGGGTTCCCGACGGGGGCGACACCCATACTTAACAATCTCGGATGCGTCCAGAATAACAACCTTCACTTATACTAAACACTACTATCACAATCCACGAATAAGACCATGCAAGGCACAAATATATATGAATTATCAGATCTTGACAAAGGAGGCTTCACCAAGACTGTAAAAGCCGTCCTTTTCTATGATCTCCAGGCCGCCACTGTTGACCCAGAGAGTGTGGTTTCCTCCTTATTGGAGGGAGTAAAGCACGCAACTCGCCAACTACCATTCATGGCAGGTCATCTTGAATTCAAGGAATCCAAAAGGCTTTGTATCGTGACCTCCCCTAACAGCACGGTGGAAGTCAGCGTACGCCGATACACAGGCACCGAGTGCGAGCCTTTCCACGACTTGGCTCAGGACTCGTTTTCTCCCAGCAAGCTGGATTTGACTCACTTTCTACCGAAAGATCCAATCGCAAAGCACCCCGTCTGCTTAATCCAAATTAGTCTCATTCAAGGAGGGCTGGCCGTAGGGTTTCGAGTGGACCACGCAGCCGGAGACTGGGTATCTCTCAGCACCTTCATATCGCTCGTCTGTCAAAGCAGCAAGGCACATCGCGAAGGCCTGGACATGCCCACCTACACTCCAGACCTCAAAAGAGATCCTTACAATGCTCCTGCCCTAGACTCTACGATCTCGCAACAAGACCGACTCGCTCAACTCCCCCTGTTCCACATCATCGAGAAGAGCAAGTTCCAATTCCAGCCACCACCCCCAATTCGCGCCGGCATCTACCGCATCACAGAGCCCACCATTCAACAGCTCAAAGCTCGATGTACCCCCCACCTAGACCAGGTCGAGTACATAACATCCTACGACTGCATCTCGGCCCTCCTGTGGAGGGCACTCACCCGGGCCCGTCTACACATCCACCCCGACCAAGTCAACACTCCATCCCGCTTCGTCCACCCCATCGACGTCCGATCCCGCGACCCAGAGCACAAAACATCTCTCCAGTACTTCGGCAACGCCGTAATCGGTACCCTTGCTGGACCAGTACCAGCCACCACACTCATATCCAACGGGGACCGCGGCCTTGCCGCAGCAGCTACCAAGATCCGTCAATCCATCCAGGCCGTTGACATATCTAAGATTGAACATCTCACGGCACTGCAAACCTCCCTCGCAGACACGGAGATGCTTATCCCAAACGCGGACTTTGCAGGCATGGATCTGTTCATGAACACATGGTATGCAGGGAGCGCAGCCAAGTATGATCTGGGAGCGGCGACAAGGCCTGTGGCTTTTCGGGTGCAGGCGGGGGTACCGGGGGCTTGCGCGATAATTCTGCCGGATTTGTCTGAGAGTGATACGAGGGTGTTTGAGGTTTTTGTGCAAGCGCCGGAGAAGGAGTATGAGGCTTTGGTGAGGGATGTGGAGTTTATAAATTGTTTCGAACAGGTTGCGTGATTAATCAAGGAATAACATAGGCAGGAAATGAGTAAACGTCATGGAAAATTGTTATGCAACGTCAGGGAACTAGTATCAGTATCTGACAGTGCATACGTTTTCAGGTGTTATATTGGGCATGAAAGTGTTACAAGATAAACCTAGCACTCATCAAATATCCTTCAAAGATCTGAAGGGGATGTTCTCTCTTTTTGGAGAGAAAAGAGGAGGAGAAGCACGATCTTCAATCCCGCAAACGATGGCAATTTCCGCATCCATGTGCTGAGCGCTATTAGCTCTTCTTTTGTGAGGTCCCTTGAAACATGAACAGCGAAAAAAGCGTGGTAATCCACGGGAATAGTTCGCGGGTCTACCGTTCTATGTCCGTTGAGTGGTATATTGACTGAAGCTGCACCAACGAGCAAGGCATGCATGGGTCTCACTATAGTCGCTGATCAGGTGAGAGCCCTTTCAAAGTCCGCAGTCTTGGATTCTTCGCTCATGTTTTCCGCAATGCTGAAGGACCCATTTTTTGGTTGTTCCGTAGCCTGCATAATGGAAAGTTATCAAGTTGCGTTCGTTGTTGAGTCTCGCTTTCGCTGTATCTAAATCGGCATTTGTGTCATCCAGCTCCCATCTCACAGCGATCGAGTAGATGTTCTGATACTGCTGGCTTCGCTATTGGAATTCAGTGTTGGTAACGGACTCCATTTCCATGAGTATCGGAAAGACCATGCGGGCATGGAGAGTAGTGTAGCAGCTACACGTAGTGTTTGTATGATGATTGTGTTTATGGTAGAAGTAGCGGAGGATGAGGGGTCGATAGCTATACTAGATGGTCTAAGCATACAGAATAGGAAAGAACATGTAGTCATGTGACAGGTAGACAGCCTTGTGGCTGGAACCCTGACAGAAGGTGAATATATCAATGTCCTTGATTCACGATGTGAAGAAACCAAATTCAGGAAGGCAATCACACAACAACACTGGACGTGGGACAGTGCTAAGGAATCCAGGAAAATTCCAATGATCAATTTCGTTTCCGGACACGTCATTATGAGAATGAACCCAGTCTTACCTCCGCTAGATCCCCGAAGCGACCCTATTTGTATTCACTGATAGGAGGCTCAGATTACCGTGGCTCCGAGCTTTTTTCTTCTTGCGTTCTATGTAGATGGCTCTTACCTTCAAAGGTACTAGGTGAAAAAAGATTGACGGCTGGAAGGAGGATTCATCATAGCCTGTAAAACCCCATGTCAGTTCGTCACCACAACCGACAAGAGAATCAATCAATCACATGTCGGAGATAGACCTAATAAGAAGCTACAGAATAGAGTATTCTCCTACTGGCTGTCCCCATTCTTTCAATAGTAGCTTGACCAAGGACTCGTTTAGAAAACTGCTTTTCGTCACACTCATCAGGTGGTTCCTGTGAGCCTCGTCGTGAAACCTGCCTCTATACGACTGTCGACTTTCCAAAGGCATCATTTCTCCTGGACCATGACGCCGATCTCGAGCTTAGGAATCCACGACTAAATAAACGTGATGTTCGGGAAAATCCTGCAAGTGAAGGTTGGATTGAAATCTTCTATTTGGCCATTCTCGTGAGACTCTATACGTTGGGTAGCATACCAGATTTTATATATCTTACATCCATTGAGAGAACTTACAGCGCAGTAGTTAGAGCACCATGATGTTAAAAATCTCTAGAAAAAGGTGATAGTTATAACGTAACTCCCGGCCGCGCCGGCCACCCCTAGTACACCGCCCTAAAATCATTGTATTACTCATTGCTAATTCACTGTCTTTGATAGAAAGAGTGGTTGCATGTAGAAACGTCTTGGGCGGTATACTGGGTGGCCGGCGCGGCCGGGAGTTACGTTATGTAGTAGACTATTAGTCATGGCCTTTTAATCAATGACATTTACTAGAACCTGAAAATCTCCTCTATGCTCTAGCGTAAGCTCTCTGAGTGATTGATCGCCAAAAGCCCTTTTTTCGCGAGGTGGCAGCTCCGCCATATAGAATTGAACATGACACAAAGATAATGATATCCCGACAAAGCAGACATGCGCACATTCTAGGACTATAAATAATACTTTATCTGAAAATGGAACGAAACAGCATCTCTGGTAAACATAAATACTCCGCTACCTATGAAGCTCGTCAAGTACCACACCTCTACACTGACCCTACCCAGCCACTCTTGAAACAGCATTTTTGGTAACAAGTCATCAAATACTCAGTTCTCCATCAACCAGTCAACGAAATTTGTAACCTTCTACACCGCATCAAATGCGATTCCGTCGGCAGTTCTCACAAACTACGATCTGGCATTGGCGACACTCCAGGATGTACTTCCGGTGGCGTGCTCCACAGATCTCGCATTCAAATACTCCCCATCCTGAACCTTCAAGACGCCGGAATCTGCCTCGGTGTTCGCACTCGTGATTCTCCATCAGATTTGCCCGCATTCTTTGAACTAGGATATCGCGGATCGGGGGTGCTAAGGGCGCTGGGGCCTGACGGTCTACAACTTCTGCCGCTCTGGCGAGTAGTCTTCCCTCGTCCCAAGTAACGCATTCGCACGTCTTCCATTGAAGACCGCAGAGGTAGCAAATCTCAGCGCGGCATTTGCACCTGTTTGTGAACAGATAAGTAAGTAGAAGTGGGGAATGTGGAAGAAGTATATGCATACGTTATGTGGTAACAGCCGAACCCCAGGTCGACGAGAGCCCTGCAACGGAAGCACCGTTGCCATCCTTGGGCACTGGCTAGCGCCAGTGTAGCTTGCAGATCAGTATCCTCCACACAATCGTCGATGTGAAAAGCCTTTTTGCACATGGCACAGGTATTCAGGTTGCAGTGGGGACACTCAGCACGGCCGGCTGTGATGTTTTGAGGCAGTATGAACTTGCCGCAGCTGGTATTGCTGCAATAAGTGCGGTCAGTGGTAGAGAACTCAATTTCCGCGCTCTTGAAATCAGACATCTCAGTCTGTGACATATGCTCCTGGACAGCTTCTAGATGAATCGGCATACGGCAGCATCGTGGAGGAAAGAGAGTTGAGTCCTTTGTCGCTCTTAGAAAGAGATCTTTGAGACAATCGTCACAGTAATTATGGTTGCAGTCCAATTGCTTCATCTTATGAGCGAAGAAGCTCTCATAGCACACGCAGCACCGAGTTTCCGTGGCGGCAGACTTCTCCAATTCCAAGGCCTGTCTTTCTCTGTATGTCATCGAGGGGCCCGCGATGCACTCATCGTCACTGGACTGGGGCTCTGTGGCCGCTTGAGGCTGCTCCACAGCACAATCGGTTGTGGAAGAGTTCGAGTCATCGTTTCTTTCATTTATTCTGATTGCCAGACGTCGATCATCGCTTGCCTGAGCTTCTTCCCGTGTAATAGTAGCAATAACCTGACTGTCGGAATGCACTGCCACAGCAATGCTCGAGGCAAGCTTGTTGTCCTCTAATGACCTTTTATGTGCTCTCAACTCTTGGCCAAATACTTGTAGATAGTCTTCATTGTCATCGGCCCGACACTTCCCTTTTTGAGAGTCAAGGTACTCTTGTAACTCCTGAAGTTGCTGGGCGACAGCGTAGATTTCGTCGTCCATGTGGTTGCATGATTGGGAGTGCAATTCCATTGTCTGAGGTGACTTTGAGAGGCTCTAACAGCAAGACAACAGTCAGAAATGACAAGGCTGGCTGGTCGTGTCTGTCACACATGATGAGAGATAACTTACTGTCAACGTCTAACGACAACAAAAGCACAGAGATTATAAGAATTTATTGGAGTAGTAGGTGATAGTCTTCATTTCCAGATGGTATTTGTTAGGAGGCAAATGTGTGAGAGGAAATAGAGATGGGGAGGTTCCGCGGGAAGTACGAAAAATAAACAAAGTTTCAGCGTTCGTATGTGCTCCGGTCACTGGACGTAAAGGTACTGAAAGCCGCCCTCACTGCTCAAGAAGAAAACTGTCTGGCCCAATCAGCACTGAGATCCGGTATAGTAAAACAGAGGAATTTTATCGCCGCCAACGGTTTTGAGACCATACAGTCTCATGAGATGAGGTGTTAGTCGTTCCCGAGCCACGATCCACATTAAAGCTGATGCTTCCGTAAGTAGTTAGATGGTCCAGATGGAAAGTAGATAAACAGCGAGTAGTGGCTGCGAGCATGGCCTGCAGCTCTCAGGAGGGAGTCACTTCATTTGTGAGATGTGTGTCAAACCAATTGACAAGTGAAGCCATTCGATCATTCATAGCACCCGTCATTCACTATAGCTTTCAAACAACCTCATGGCTCAGACTACAATTCTGTGGCTTCTCAATTCTTTCCACTCACTCGTCTCATTTGCAAGCTCACCTTTAAGAAGTCATCATAAGCTGACAGTTATATCTAGTCAAGATAACTCACAGAGCCAAGACCTGGGGTAAGTAGATGATAACCATTAGACCCACTATATCAGCCGTCTCCACATTTTGTATGTCGGCTATGCTCATCGCGAAAACTGCCAGTGAAATGAGGGCGATTTCACTCAGAAAGCATTGTACAGCTGCGTTACTAAGTAGTTACTAAGTAAAAGATGGAACTGACCATCTCTCTAAAATATTTCTAGAAGATGGGGATATGGCTCTCACCATGCAATACTTAAAAGAAGTTCACGGTATTTTCTGTGCTATTAGATTCTTTTTTTACATTGTTCACGTCATAACTGTAATGATCAAGCGGCGAGCAGTTTTCCCATCCGGATTACCCCCTTGACTGTAGACCAATGCACAGCATCGCTCTATCACCATCATAACAACGTTACGCCACTAGACACATTAACCAAGGAAAAAATTGAGACGAATATATACTCATAACATCCCCAAACCTGATATCCAATATAAATTCCTACCCCCCTACCCCCTCCCCCCAGTCCCAGCCCACCATCGGAACCAACACCCACCCCCAACCCAATAAACCCCCATCGGAAGCTCTCAAGGCGGTCAACATCCGAAAGTCCCCAAATTCGAGTTCCCCCCAAAGTTCGGGGGCTCTCGGCCGTAACCCCCGAACCGAAGAACATATAACCAACAATCCAAACAATCCAAACACACCAAACATTAGTAATATGTGAAATTGCACTGTTTGCAATCAGAATATAATTGGAGAACAAACATTCCAGTTTGCCCACCGCCCAGCATTGGGAAATGCGGGGAACCAATGAATGAATGAATGAGCGGTGGAGGCAACAGCACGCCATTATGCGAATCATTTGCATTGTTTGTTGCGCTGAAGACCGTCTGTGTCCCTGCAGGGCAGTGGTTGTGGCATTCTTTCTTTGACTCCTTTTCTTCTTGATTATATCTTCGAGGTTTTTTCAAATGATTGATCTATTGATTATTGAACTGTGAGACTTGTTGTGAAGAAGAAGAAAATTAACATCATGGCGACGCATTTCCACGACCCCGCATTATCGCCCTACAGTCCCATTGAGAGCCTGATGAATCCCTTGTCGTTTGTTTGGGAGTGGTTAGCGTCTTTCAGGTCAGAGGGAGTTCAGGACGAGCAAGTGACAGCAGGTTCAAAGTCAGAGAATGCTGCTGTTCTCTGCAAGGAAGACATGATGTGACCGGATTTTATGGATCGTTGCAGGGTGTGTATAAGTCAAGGTATGTCCCCCATATTGTGGAAGAGGAAGAAGAAGAAGAAGGTCCTGGACTGGACTTGATGCTCATGGACAGAATCATGCTAACATCATACATAGTTCATATCTCAGATACCACCCACGACCGACTCCAGCAATCTTTAACTATTCTATGATACCCCGATTGATTGTGTACGAAAAAAACAGAGAATGATGTCATTAGTGAATTCGGTGCTGGTTAATATTTTATGTTGAAGAGATTGAAGTCTGTGGATGATGGACCATCATTGGTGCTGAGCTGTCCTGGTGCTTTCTTCTTATTTTAAGTGAAACTACTGGTATGGTTTATTACATGTGTTAATACTGAACAATGCCCGCATAAGGCATGTATGTATGCTGTGGAACAGATGCAGGCTTAGTGCTATATACCTACCTATCATCACAATCTCCTAGGACCATTATCAATGTGAATTCAGTGTAGTACCGCTGAACAACCAAAGGTCTCAGGATAACATGCTAAGAATGAATTAATCTATCCAACAAACACATGCTAAACAAACAATATATCTCGCTAGAACCCATAAATAACACAAAACAAACCCTCTATCATCGTACAAACCCTTCTCTCAGAAGACTACTAGTAGTAGTAGTCATACTCACAACGAAGCCTTCTCAATCCTTCTCCCCAGCGCCCCCCTCGCCTCCTCACACATCTTGCCAACATCCACATTGGCAATAATCCCATTCCGATAGTTAATCGCCTCCTCGATCTTCTTGAAATCACTTCCTACCCCATCAGCCCTCCACTCATAGCAATCGCCAATGAACCGACTACTCTGCACCAGCCACTGAGACCGCTCGCGTCGGTTCTCATCGAACGCCGCCAACACTGCCTGGAGATCCTTGTGCGTTTGCACGCGCTCGTCTTCCAGCAGTGTTGCCAGCACGGCTGTATCCTCGATACAGAAGCCCGCGCCGGCGCCGTGGTGCGGCGAGGTAGCGTGCGCGGCGTCGCCGGAGATGCCGACGCGGCCTTTGTAGAAGGTTGGGACCGGGTGGTCGCCTAGGTCGAAGATGGCCCACTATTTACTCATCAGATTTTATTGTCTAAGGTAAATGGGGGATGGGAAAATGCATACCACGCTGAGCTGAGGATCAGTCAACTTAAGCAAGTTGGTCACGTTGGCCCCGTAGCCGGCAAAGTCGCGGAGAACTTCATCACGGGTACCCTGGCGGGTGAGTCTGGGGTACTCGGCCCATTCGTCGGTGGTAGTGTGGAAGGCGACGATGTTGAGTGTTTTGCCGGCGTTCACGGGGAAGGTGAGCATGTGGCCGCCGGGGCCCATCTACACTTATCAGTACTGTTTGGTAGGTTAAGATCAAAAGACCTGGCCACTCACATGCATGCAAGAATTCGAAGCCAATTCCTCCCCGATCGCCTCAACCGCCTTATCCATCGGCACGAGACCCCGGTACGCATACTTGTGAGTATACGACGGCTTCGCAGAAGGATGGTCCGCACCGACGATAATCTGGCGCACCTGGGACTTGATTCCATCACACCCGATAACCAGATCAGCTTCATCCTCGGATCCATCGGCAAACTTCATAATCAGCTTGCCATCGCTAATGCGCTCGTGAATATCATCCAGGTGCTTGTTAAAGCGGGAAATCTCCTTGGGGACGAGCTTGATCATTTCGTCGAGGAAATGCGCGCGGTGAACGCCGTTCTGGCCGAGGCTGTTGGAGATGGTGAATTCGATTTTTTGGTGGCCGTTTTCTTCTTGACTAGTGTTCTTGCTGTTGTATCCGTCCAGATAGTCGAACCACACTTTTTGCTTGGTGGGCCAGAGGTTCCGCGTGCAGACTTTCTCGAAGGCGTTGTAGATGCCATCGTGGCAGTATTTCATGGCCTGGACGGCATTGGGGCTGAAGGAGACGCCGGCGCCTACTTCGCCGAATTCGTGCGCTTGCTCGTAGATGGTTACGGAAATGTTGCGGTGGTGGAGCGCAATGGCTAGTGTGATGCCTGCTATGCCGCCGCCGATGATGGCGACGTGGAAGTCTTTCTTTGTGGGGGACATGGTGTGGTGTGGTGTAGATGAATTGGAGAGGGTGTTGGTTTTAGGGTGAGGTGAAGTGATGAGATTTAGCAGCGGCTAGGGTTCTCCAGGTCTTTTATCTACTAAGGCTAGAGGCTACAGATAGCTTGTTTTGAACGATGTCATTGCTTGAGATGCGTGGCGCGGAGAGTCGGATGCTGATGAGGCACGTCGGTACCAGGGGGACAGTGACCTCAGAGTCCATCGGATGCTGTCTGGCTGATCCCCGTGGGGCATCGGACACGGATATACGGCACTGCTGGCGCCGTAGCCGATGGACTATTCCATGATGCTGTATGCTGTCGAGTGGTGCTGATGGGTGATGTTATAAGCGCGCAACGGCAAATAAGCTTGCAAGTGATCGGAGCTAGTTGGTAGCTTATATGGAGGATTATAGGAATGTTGTGAGGGTGTTGCACCTCATTTGCGGACTACAGTCGGTGGTTGTGTGACGTGCCATATCCGATGGTAGGTGCGCTCCGCACTTCAACGGCCACCGCTATACAAGCTTTGCGGCAAGGCTGGCACACTTTTCTTCTTCTTTGTCTGTCTCGGATAGAGGAATGAGGCGGGTCAGCCCGGTATACGTGCGATTGTGCGATGTGATTCTGTCATTGTCTTGGGTATCGTATGGTCGGATATGGAAAGTTCAAGGCAATTCGGCAGATGCGCCAGTGTTTCTAGACGTGCGATCCGCAGTCTTGCACTGCCAATGTATACTCTGCAGTTGGCCGTGATGCAGTGCGACTATGACTGATAATATCCACGATGAAGATATCGTTTGTGGGATAGCACATATCACGGTTTGCCGATAGCGTTGACCAGACATACGGGTTCCTACTCCGTGAATTACCCAGATACTCCCCGAGTTGAATCTCGATGGTGGCACTTCAATTTCCATGGATCGATATGCATCTTCAAGGCAGTGTTGAAAATTTTAATGAAAAGGGGGCATCCCACTCGAGGAAGTATGGGAGGCTGGACTGTGGCTAGCAAAGCGAACCATACCAGGCAAACATCCGTGGGGGGCATTGCTTAGTTACGGTATGGTAATATTTGTAACGGGAATGGAAACAAAAACGTGCCGAAGTGGGGGTGAGTAAGCAGAAGGGTAACAAGGTCTGATTGGACGATCCATTGCCCATCAGCTGGCCTCTAATTGGGTACCGTGCATCATCCCCTGCTGCCAAAACATCCAATCATGATGCTTTGCGCACTGCAATATGCCCATTGAGGAAAGTGACCAGCTGCCGGCAGAACTGCTGCTGCTTCGATGTGCAATTTTTGGCGCCACCAATGCAGGCGGCTCCCCCAGAGACCGCGGCTTGGGAACCTCTTCCTGTTGGAACGATGCATGGTCCCCTGCGAGGAGT